GTTATTATGTTAGGAAAACATGATTTTGTGATGTGCGGGTTGCCTACCTATGCTGATAGAGGTTTAAAATTGTCACACGACCAAGCGGAAGTCAATACTTACCACACAAAACAACAATGGCAAGGTTTAAGTTGAAAACCACTCGTTAAAACCACCAAAGCCCTCGAAAACTAATACAGGGGTCAAAATGACCCCTTCGGTAGAGCGAGGTATATGTTTTAATATCTCGTAAAGTTTTTGACGCACATGCCTGATTTTTCGTGTCAAAGCGTATTTTGGTTACCCATGAAAAGTCAAAAAGTGGCGGGTCGGTAGAAAAAAAATTTAATAGTTCATTTGGCAATTCAAAATCAAAAGGGGTCATTTTGACCCCTGCGGTAGTTCTAGTGTTAAAGAACATCATTTTGAGGACCTGTGGTTTTTGATTTTTTTAAAATCCAATTTTTGAGCTAGAATGCTCTTCTTCGAACTCGATCGTCTTTTTATGATACAAAACGACCCTGAAAATCCCAGGTCGCTAGCTCAGTTCGTTCTCGAGTTATCGTGCGTACAGACAAACACACACACACACACACACACACAGACAAACAGACGCGAAACTTTTTAGCCCGCCCTTCTGCTATGAAAAAGCTATCCAGCGGGCTTATGCAAACGACCTCGTGTGTGTCTGTCTAGAAGGAGATGTGCTAGAGACTTGAAATTTTCAGGGTATCTTAAGGTCTATCTTCTAGAGAACGAAACGCCTACGGCAAATTCTGGCAGCCACCCCTAATGGGCTAAAATGGGGTATCAAAGAAAATGGGTTAGGTCAAAAAAGTCAGAAAAAAATGTTTTTTTTTATGATCCCCTAAGGGGTAACTCGTCAAAGTAGAGTCTTTCGGGCGAAAATTTCGTCCGTTTGGCTCTATCTCTAACCGTTTAGGCGCTAGAGGGAGTTTATATCACGAAAGTGGCCCAAAAATAAACATATTAATTTTAGAAAATATTAGATGGTCTGCGAAAGGGTAACTTTTCAAAGTAGAGCCCTTTGGGTGGAAATTTCTTCCGTTTGGCTCTATCTCTAACCGTTTAGGCGCTAGAGGGTCTTGTTTGACGAAAATAAGCTTAAAATTCCTGTAGTGAACAATAGGTTGTAGAAGAAAGCCCAAAACCGCAACAGAGGAAAGAAACTCCCTCCCCCCAACCCAAAAAACGTTTTCTAAGCAGAAGGGTGGGTTGTAGTCGCGGTGCTTCACCGTTACACAGGGAAAAATTTAACTAAACTAGTTTCTGTAACTGTAACTAGTTACAATTTGCAGCAACTGAAACTGTAACTAGTTTCATTTTCAAACTAAATAACTGTAGCTGTAACTAGTTACATTTTTTTCTGTAACTGTAACTAATATCAGTTACAGTTATTTTTGCCCAGTAGAACTTTTAAAAAGTATGATATTTCTTTCCTGTTGATCCACATTCTGTTGCAATGTGCTATCTGGAGTCTGCGGCTAGCGCGGCATTCAGAGTAGTGTTTAATTAGTAGTGTTTAATTAGTATGTAGTGTTTAATTTTTCATCACGCGACTTTACGGGTTGCGCGAGCGGCACTACACCCTGCTCATGGTGGTGGTTGTGGTTGTTATATTTTTCATACCTTCTTTTTACTGGCGGCTCTACTCCATGCTCGACGGTGCACCACGGGCGTCAGACCGTGATATTTTTTATAGAAAATAGTAATTAATAAAATAATAGCGCATATTTTTATCAATAAATAAAGGAATTCCGAGGGAAAATATTCTGTTCTCTGGAATAATACAAATATTTCTGAATCACGAAGGCGAATTTCCTTTTAATTAATCCTTAAAAATGCGAGATCCGAATGACCGACGATACTTTCTCCGAGATATTTAAAAAAACACATTCGGACAATATAGCGTCGGACAATATAGCGTCGGACAATAAGAGCCATCTCGGTCCAAAGTATTTTTAAAAACCGAACGAAATGAAGATAAGCAAAAGTATCATTTGTATTTCAGCAAACTAATCAAAATTTTATGGTCTAACTACACAATATAAACCATACATACATACTCAGGTCTTTACAAATGCACTGGAGTTGCAATTTCACTTAAAATCCTAATATGATTCACATAATGTGTCTAAATAATATTCAAGAATATACCAACTCAAAAATTGTGAAAAACTTGAAACGCACTCAAATGATTATCTCAGTCTATTTAGATAACATTCTACACAATATGTATAAATATGAGATCAAGTAAAGCGAACTATTGACAAGACATACAAATTCGATGATTAAACCAATAGGAAATAATATTCTAGGTAAAACAAAAATGAAAATATGTACATAAAAAGTTAAATAAAAGATTCATTGAACAAGAGCCATAGAAGTTCTCATGAAAGGCACCGAATAGAGCTTTGGTGCTCAGGCGTGAGAAGATCATTATCACATTCTTTCTTCCGATGAAAGAAGTAGACATGGCTTTGACAAAGTTTGACACAAAGTAGCTATGAAGTAAATCAATGAATGAGATCAAAACAAAGTAAGATATCTATATAAGAAAAATTTAAATATGCATAGAAAACAGTCAAACAAGCAAATCTTACAGGATACATACATCCATAGACACAAAAAAGGCATTACACTTTTGATTCTTTGGAAGCTGGTCCGCCGTCATGTTCATCATCTCTCTTCCTCTTCACCACGCAAGTAGGGGCCTGCGAATTGCTGCGAGCAGTCATACTTTGCACGATGTCAAGGTCTGGTCCTATAAAGAAACAAATTCATAAGTTCAAGAAAAAAATAAAAAATAAATTTCTTAAAAAAAAAAAAAAACAACTTACTTTCACCATCCAACTTGTCAACTTGTCATATTGTACTTGCCAACAGACCCGTAATATATAAGCCGACAACAGGGACAGCCATTACAAGCCAGCATTCCTTACAAGTACCCTTTCTTATTGTGACACCATCAATACCAAGAATAAGATGAACGTCATACAGGGAACTGCCCTCCTGCAATGACTTAAAAACAGTACCATCCTGTATATCAGAACGGGAGCCATCATCAAAATTTTTCTGTCTTGATTCAAGCATTAATGTTGCTAAATTCCTTTCTTCAAACCAATACCTTACAATGCTTTCAATGTCAAACATAAAG